ATGAGCATGCCCGTAATAAGAGGACTTAAAAGTGAACCCATCACCACCCCGTCAATTTGCCGATACGGCTGGTTGTTGAATCATAACTGAGCATTCTTTGTACAAAGAAGTAGTGATTTTCGTAGCTCCTTTTCAGGAAAGGAAAGTATTTCGGATTGCCGACATATGATTCTCACTGTTTATTCAATAGGTATGCTAGTAAATAGTGAACAAACATCGTATGATACGAGGAGTTTGACCAAGATATTCACTTGGTCTAACTCTTATGAGAATTGGAAGGAACCCTTCATACTGTGGACTGCCAGCTTTTGTCAAATTGGTTCCAACATTTGTATCAACCACCTAGCCAGTTTATGTCATGATGACTTCATCACTGACATTATAGGTCTCAATGGCGCATCAGGCTTGTGGACTTTGGGCAGATCATGCATTAACGGTAGGCGTGAACCCTTTGATTTGAGGTCACTCTGGGTACTGTTGTTGATTAGTCCTATTTTATGCAGTTCTTCGACATGCCTGTTTACTTTGTTTTCGAAGTCTGTTGTTACATCGTCTTTTGACACATCCACTTGTAATCACATCGTACGACTTCTCCCTCGAAAAGTCAACCAAGTCAATGAATCACTCAGTAACGTTGCGTTGCAGAAAATCGAGAGGAGTTTAGCGGATTAAATTCTGTAACAAGTGTCTCGAAACAGGTTATTGTCCATGTCGATTCAGACCGACAAAATTACCTCCAACTCAAAGAATCTGTGTCGCGTCACCAAATCGTATACTGATTCATCTCAGAAATACGTCGACACCGATGAGAAGAGAGTAAAGAGAAATACAGATAAGAGATGGTAAACGGAAATACGAGGCAAAAAGAATGGTAATATGGAAGGAAAATAGAGTTTTATTGGATATGATAAATCACAAAGAGTGAATCCGCGCCATGAGAACAATTCTGAGTCATATCACCAATATTCTCCAGCCTTCATTGGTTTTCACCAACCAACCAAAACGTTTACACTTCCCCACGTGGCTGGTTTAAACTAGCTGTTATGGATTTCATCATGAGCTGATATCAGTTAGAGAACCACTGGAAAACCTGGTGGTACTGGGCAGCTGTTTTGCAGTAGTTTGGGACTCTCAATCAGTACTCTCCACCTCCTGGTTACCAGGTGAGATCGTAGACTATTAAGCCACTGGGACCCGATCTAATGGCCCTTGAATTCCAACTTCTGTCAATTCACGACATAGCGCGACCACTAGCCGATGTCATCCATGGTGAGTATTTTTCCTGACAACCGACCTGCTCGGCCCTACTGGTCACGACTTCCCATCAGAACTCCAGATAAACACCTACCTAAATACGGCCAGTCACTAGTGAGCATCTCGTTGTTACACGAGTATTGGTTTATTGGGATTTCATTGACTGATGCCGTATTTTGGTTTGTCCACCCCTGCCTCCTCTCTGACTTGATTGATGTCACAGCTTTCTTAACCTCAGGGATAGAAGGCCTGTGTCTATATCACGTTCAGAGAAATGTTGGATGCCGGTTAATTTGTGTTTGGCAGTCTGTTCTGTCTGTTTTCGACATAGAACTTTGCACAAATGTGCGGAAGTTCAAGTCGCCACATTCCGTGTAGCACGCGAAGCAAGAGAAGAAAGTACAAGAAAAGCATAATAGAAACAGTGAGCAGAGGTGTGAGTTTCATTGAAGATCATAAGTCACAGGGAGTGGATGCATCTGCGCCACTGAGAACGGTTTTGAGCCATGTCACCAATTGTTTCCAACCATAGATTTTTACCGTCCCGAGGACCCCAGCCTGGAAGTCTACACCTTTCTACGTGGCTTAGACCAACTGTTGTGGATTTCATTGACTGATGCCAAGTTTTTGTTTGACCGCCGCTAGCTTTTTCCAGCCTGACCCTATATCCGCTAACATAGCTCGTCGAGGGAGGCGATGGCTTGGCATACGTAACACATGTCCTAACCATCTCAGTCTTTGTAGCTTCACGACTTCGTCGATTGATTTCCCCTGTTTACCTAGAACTCTACGCCTAACCTCCATGTTGCTCACCTTATTATGCCACTTTACACGGGAAATAGAACGCAGTAGGCCAGTTAAATTACTCCTCAAAGTGTTCTTTCCAATCTTCGAGCCATCTATCTTGACAGCTAATGATAATGCCATTTCTCTCGGAGATTGTTTCACTTATCACTTGCATTTTGCCACCTGTTTCCCTAATAAGTATAAATAGTTGTCAGGTGTTACTTATCGCCGATATCTTTTACATCCCTTGCGCTCTTGTCGCCCACCACTGTTCACGGTCGTTGCGAAGACTTCTTGGAAGTTTACGTTTGAGCAGCTTCGCTCCTCATCATATTCAGAACTCGCTGGAATCAGTCTTCTTGCGTCAATCAGTTCGGATGAGGCGGTAGAGATCCTCTGGCTCTCACTAACTTTTGGTTTTAGCTTATAATCAACAGCCTTTACAGTTGTGTATACAGCTAATTGTATGTTCCGCCAGCCAGACTTCCTCAGGAGGAGTCTTGCTGTGGACCACAGATACTGGTCTCGCCATTTCTCCTTTGAATAGGGTCTCAGTGTCTTGATCTAGTCGGGGACGTAACTGCTTGACTGCCAACAATTTTCTACGTCCGTTTAGACGTAAGCATAAACGTTCGCGAGCCAGAGCGTGATCGGAGTCTACTCAAGTGTTGGAGAAGGAGCGGAAGTCGTCTGCCAACCTTCGCCAACGATACCCTATCGCTATGTGGTCTACTTGAGTCCAGCGTTGATTCGGTGATGGAGGTCGCCGGGTTTCGCAGTGTCTCTCTTTGTCCCTAAAGTTAGTGCTGACTAGGAACAGATGATTATCTGAACAGAACGATAGAAGACGATCACCGTTTTCGGTTTGTCGGCAGGGAACTCAATACGTACCACCTATATGCTTCTCAGTCTGGCACAATTTCCATACTTGGGCATTGAAGTCGCCTGGCAGCAAATTAGACAGTTTCTAGTGGAAGTCATCCTTTAGTTCATTCGAACTGCAGTCTATCGGGGGCGTAAGCGAAGACTATGAACAGACAACGATGGGTAACGCGGTCCTTCCTTCTTCTGACGGACGCGTCCACACGCACCGCACAGACACAACCAACTACTGGGATCCAGTCAAGAAGTGATTTTTCTGCCCTAACACTCAGTGCTATCCCTACACCTGCGAGTCCTCGCGAGCTATCTGAGGGGTCTCCTGGTCTCCTTAAAGTGAATTTTGTAGATTCACCTTGTTGAGCGAGTAGGTCAGCCCGAGATGCGAGAGTTCTTGCCAGTGACGCCTGTTGTCCGATTTGGCAGAGGGTCCTGATGTTTTTTGATGTGGTTATGTCCTCTGAGCTGGAGAGTTAATATGGAAGGCTTTCATCGCCCTTCTAGGCGACATCTTCAGCGCATACTTCAATTTGAAGTCCTGAAGTTAAATGTTCCTATAATTTGAGTTGGTAGTATGGCTTCAAAAGGCTATCTGGGGTGTTTTCTATGGCTCTCACTGTTGTTCGTGGTCACAGAGTAAAGTGGAGGTGTCTCACTACTAACCTGAAGACTAGTACTAACTGTAGTAGGGGAATAAGATGATGAAGGTGATGCGGATAGAGGAGAATGATGTTCAGGAAGGCTTCGTGTGCTTTGGAAGTACAAGCTGATAAATATCAAAACTCAGGTAAACATTCCTGGTGAGAATTAACAAACAGGCAGACAGAAGAATCTGTGAATCCTGAGTGACACACTGTGGTGAGAGCAGGCCGTAAGAAAATATGAACAAGGCTGATTCAACAACCAATCACAGCGAAGTTAACGTGGCAAAATATGATTCGCAGATAGAGAACTCTATTTCTATACTTTTGGTTTGTAAGGATTAGTTATGTTTTACGAGTTGATCACGAATTGATATCAGTTAGAGAACCATTGAAAACCAGGGAGTACTGGACAGCTGCTGTTTCATCCTAGTTTGGGAATCATCGGCAGTACGCACCCACTGGGTTTCGAACCCAGGACCTTCCGGTTACAAGGCAAGCTCGTATACCATTCAGCCACTGGGACCCGATTCAATGGCTCGTGAATTCTAACTTCTACCAATTCGTGATTTAGCGCGACCCCAACCATTGTCGTTGGTGGGACATCCATCCACACACGTGACATCTAATTGGACCTCACTGGTCACGACTTCTCACTAGAACTCAGGAAACTCCAACCTGTAGCAAGTCACTAGCGAGCATCAGATTTTGGGGTCGCGCTAAATCACGAATTGGTAGAAGTTAGAATTCACGAGCCATTGAGTCGGGTCCCAGTGGCTGAATGGTATACGAGCTTGCCTTGTAACCGGAAGGTCCTGGGTTCGAAACCCAGTGGGTGCGTACTGCCGATGATTCCCAAACTAGGATGAAACAGCAGATGTCCAGTACTCCCTGGTTTTCAATGTTCTCTAACTGATATCAATCCGTGATCAACTCGTAGAACTCTATTTGTCGAGGAATCCCGAAACAACCAATCAGAAGCCTGCGTTTGTCTGCCTAACTTCTGATAAACAACCAATCAGATAACTGCGCTTGTCTACTTGCATAAGCTATAATAATGTATGTGAAATATGTATAAATACGTGTTGATTTTCATAATAAAACGATCTGTTGCCTGGCCCTTGTCTCCTGTTGTTACAACACATCACTAAACACGACTGAATTATATATATATATATATATATATATATATATATATATGCATAATATAGCACTGTAACAGTTATATAATGAAATCTATTGGGAATTAGAAATATAACTTGGTGTTCTTCTCCAAAAAGAATACACAAATCAGTTTTCATATGAGAGTATATAAAATAAACAAAATTTTCCGATGAATAGTCTGCAGAACTGGGTCAGTTCTACTGAAGGATTTAAATGCATCATTATATTTTCACGCTAGTACACCTTATCTATCTCGAGTATATCTTCTTCATATAATTATTCACACTCAATAAGGATTAAATCGTCATCATCAGAATCTACGTTGACAGTAGGTATAATCTCATAAGGCGATAATACAGAAGAATTGTTGTGTTCATTATCAACATCGATATCGACTCTTGCCCTTTTGATTTGACAATGATTTTCAGTGAATTCAGCATTTTGCAGTTTACGCTTTGAACTGACTTCAAACTTCTGACTATTTGACGATGATGACGACGATGGAGGTGGGTCAATAGATTCATCGATGAATTGAATTACAGTTGAATCGGTATCACTGGCCCCGTTGACACTGATATTTACATCATCTTTACTATTCAACGAAGCTACACGTAATAAGATAGATAGGCAAAAGAAAAATAACAAAAAATAGCGGGGAATAGGATGGTCAAATGAATGTGAAAAAGTCTACTGCACTAAGACGCATAGAGCAACAAAATTTGAATTTCCGAAAAATAAAATAATAAAAATAAAACAATGAGCTGATCACTTCAAAAGACACCTGAATCGATCATCACCTGCAACTCGCCCAGATATAGCAAGCACAAAACTGACTACCAGTAGTAGACGCCAATCTTCCAACAAAGCCAAAATCCTGAATGCGATCAAGCTACTGAAGACCAGACGAAATTCCTCATGAAGCAGTGAAAACGGCAGATATGTGGACACCATTAATGCAAAACGATTGGAAGGGAGGAAAGGTGCATATTGATTGAAAGAAAGGATACTTCGACAAAATACAAAGGATTAGTGACTTAGACGTCAGCAAAAACCAGCTTGGAATAATGCCCATGACTACGCCAAGCAAAATACCAAGTTGCATCATCGTGGGAAGAGTAAACGATATTCTGGATACGAAACACCACTCAGAACAAGCTGGATTCAAGAAAGGTAAATCATGTGCTCATCGAATTGCAACTCTACGCATCGTCAACACGACAGAACAAAGAATAGAATGGAAATCAAACCTCTCTCTACCTCAACTTTAACACTAATTTCACGTCAGTCGCTTCTCCTTTATGGGTCAAAAACTTGGACAGCGCGTCACGAAAAGTATTTCCAATAGGATACTACAGGCTTACATCAACAACCGCCTTCTCTCCACATTGAAGATCCATAGGCTAGAAAGAATTATTAACCAGTAATTGATATAAGTATAAAACTTGAGCACTGTGGTAGAGTATAACTCCATCATGGATAAGATTTTTATTTTGATAAATCACACAGTGTTATACAGTAATATTAACTGATGATGTTTCAAATTCTCTAGTGACAATATTGACTGCCTCACCGTTAAGTGTCGACCTAAACATTTGTCAAAATACAACTACATTTACATCTCGAACATTTATATTGCTCCTGGATGCAATTCCACAGAATTGTCTTTATTTGCGGATGAATTTACCTCCCTTGCTGCCACATCCTTCGGAAATTCCTTGTCTATAGTTACTGGAGATTTTAATTCTAGTAATCACAGCTTCCTAATTTCACTTGGACACGATTACATTGTCAACTTCCCGACTAGAATGGATAACACTCTTGATTTTGTGTTTACAAATGACACAGGAATATTTGAAGCTCGAAAAAGAGCCCCACTATTCAATTCTGATCACTGTATTAGAAGAATATTGCCCAAAGTATATGGAAAGCAGCACAAAAGGGTCTTCTCATACCTTGGAAAGAAAACACAACACAGATGTTATTCTCATGACAATATACTAAATCTAAGGTCCATGTTAAAAGACACAAACTGGGACTTATTTACTGAACAAGCTCTTGATAACACAATTACCAACATAACACATTATCTAAATTTTTGTCTTGATGTTTGTTGTCCAAAAGAGACAATCTTCTTAAAATTCGACCGTTTCTCCTCTTCTCAACTCAAAAAGCTCCGCCGTGAAAAAAAAGGTTGTTCAAAATGAAAAAAAATCTGGTGTTAAGAGAATAAGCACTTTAATTAAACTTGAATTACAAGGATTGAATGCTCTTTCATGTAAATCCCCATCAAATATGTGGAAGTTATTAAAGAAAATCACAGGTGGTAAGGAAATAATGAATGATATTTCTGTAGATGTTGGCATGCTTAATAAATCCTTCATATGTATCCCAGCAAATGTTATGATTCCTAACTCAAATAGTGTAAATAATGCCTACTTCTCATGCTTTAACACGAATGATGTCCTCAAGTGTCTTCAATCTCTCAAACCTACTCAGTCTCTTGGTCCTGATGGTGTTCCTGCTGTTATCCTTAAGACATGTGCTGACATCTTGTGTTCCCCATTAACTGACATTTTCAACGAAACGTTTTCCAAAAAGTATTATACCTGACTCATGGAAAAATATCAAGATTGTTCCAGTGCCTAAATCTACAAGTGGACCTAATGTTAAGTTTAGACCTATTGCTATTACCTCACCTTTTTTGAAAGTTATAGAAAGACTTATTTTAATTAATCTTGAACCCTCTTTAAAGCCTTTCAATGACCCCAAGCAGTTTGGTTATAAACATAGTAGGTGTACCTTAGATCCCGCTGTTGTCCTACACCATAGTATAGTCTCTAGTTTAGATAAAGGAGCTAAATACGTTCGCTGTGCCTTCCTTGATTACACATCTGCATTTGACTCTGTTCCCAGGTCTCTCTTGCTAAGTAAGATTGCTGCAACACAGACTGAGAGCTGGACAAATAAGTGGTTGCACACCTATTTTCTGATAGGAAGCAGCACACCGTCTACAATGGAAAGTAATCCACTACCTCACTTACTTTAGCTGGTGTATGTCAAGGTGCTGTTCTTTCTCCCTTTCTGTTTTCCTTTTTCTTACATAACTTACCTCACTCTGATGTAGCCACTTTTGTTAAGTATGCTGATGACCTCTCTGTTTCTATGCCTGTCAACTCTCAGTCAGATTGTCCCAAATTAAATAACTTTCTGTCGGAAATTAGTCAGTGGTCCTCATCAAACGGTCTTAAGCTAAACCCGTCTAAATGTCAGGTAGTCAATTTCACTTTCAGACGTAAACGTGACCTACGAAAACTAGTTAGCTCACATGGCCCCACTATCATTGACGGCACAGAGGTTGAAAATACATCTAATGTCAAGTACCTTGGGCTGAGTTTTTCCACTGATCTTTCCTGGTCCTCCCACATCTTGCTAGTTACCAGAAAGATGTTTCGCTTAACGTTCTACGTTAGGAAATTTAGGCAGTCTGGCATAAAGCAGTCTTTGCTTTCTCAGTTTGTCAACTCTTGTATTCTACCCATCCCCTTTACTGCTCCCCATTAATCTTTCTTGGACTACTTAAGAAAGACTTTGCTTCTCTGAGAAAAGCAGGCACTAAAAGCCGTTAGTAGGGCAAGTGGGATATCGTTAAACCAACTGGTTAACACTATTGTGGATAGACATATAATGTCATGTAAGAAACTAGCGAATACAATATTGTCAGACCCCGAGCATCCCCTCTATATGCAGCTCTCTCCTTGTATTTCATCTGGTAGAACTAGAAGCAGCTATACGAGGCTATATGCTAGGACTACCAAGTACAAAAACTCCACAATACCATATCTGGCACAGCTGTTATGTGATGAGAAATCCGTTAGGTATGACACGATCAACTTACTGCGGCACTCGTACAAATAGTCCCATTAGTTTTTGTTTTCCTTTCTTCGTTACTATTACACTGTTGTTCTCATCTTCTATCACACACTAACTTTATATTTCATATCCTGTGGTGCATTGTTTGAAATGTAAACCCAAAGTTGTTCTTTTATTTATCTTCCTTTTTGGGGCGTTGCCTTTTGATTTTAAAATCTTATAAAATTTATGAAGTAATTAGATGCAATATATTGCAATTATTATATTATTATCATATCCTTTAATTCCTAGAGGAACATAGGGCTTCAGTCACGCGTCTCCATTGCCTTCGGTTTTATGCCAACTTTTTCACTCCCCTCCAAGTCTGCCCACATGCTTTCATCTCCTCTTCATATCACCTCCTCCTAGTCACCATAGCACTGACGACCAATTCACCGCTTCCCTTTCGGGTTCCACTCGAGCGATGGCTTGTCCAGTGATGTCACTTGATGGTTCGTTTCCTCAGAGTATGGCCAATCCATCTCGATTTCTTCCTGCCTATTTGTTTCACAATCGGTTCCTGCTGGGTTGGTTCGCTCATTACCAGAGATCCCTGTTGCTGATCTTTTCTGACCGGCCATCTGATCTTGAGTATTGAGCGAAGACAACTGTTAATGAAGGTCTGAAGTTTGTTTGAGATGCTCTTTATGACGCACTGGTCAAGTCTCTGATCCGTATAGTAGCACTGACTGACTTCACATTGGAGTTGAAAATCCGGATCTTATTTTTGATGTTGAGTGTTGTTGACCTCCACTCAGACTTGAAAGCTTGTCTTGCTTTTCCGATTCTGGCTTTGATGTCCTCGTCAGTTCCACCCACCTGTAGTTGAAACGATGCTTCCCATGTCGGTAGGTTCCTCCCACTTATTCTGATTGATATCTATTGTTGTTGCTGTTTGCCAGGGATCACTATCACCTCTGTTTTATCTATGTTCACTTGAAGTCCTATCTTTGATGCTTCCTCTGCCAACTTGTTGCTTTTCACTTTCATATCTTCCAGTTTGTGGGAAATCAGACATATATCATCGTCGAAGTCCAGATCCTCCAAGTTTTTTGTGTGAGTCCATTTCATGCCTGTTTCCTCATCGCCGGTTGTCTGTCGCATTATCCAATCTACTGCAATCAGGAAGATCATTGGCGATAATAGGCAGCCAGCTTGCCTCACTCCTGTCCTCACTTTGAAGGCTTCCGTAAGTTTCCAGTTGTGGATTACTTGGCATGCAGCACTGTCGTATAACTGTTGGATGAGATGAGATGTATAATTGTCGATGGCACCCCGTAGTATCGAAGTAGTTGTCTAATCACCTGTCGATCGACGCTGTCGAAGGCCTTTACAAAGTCGATGAAGTTGAGTGAGGTAGAGAGGTGACTTCCATTCCAAGTTTTGTTCAATGATGATCCGTAGTGTGGCCATTTGATCAATACATGACTTGTTTCTCCTGAATCCAGCTTGTTCCGGTCGAAGTTTTTCATCCAGGTTGGCTTGTTTGATTCTCTCCAGAATGATTCGGCTTAGTATTTTGCTTGGGATGGACAGGAGCATGATTCCGCGCCAGTTTTTGCATTGGCTTAAGTCTCTTTTCTTTGGTAGTTTGAATAAGTATCCTTTCTTCCAATCCTCAGGTAATTTGCCCACTTTCTTACCTCACCTTCTCCAGCAATGGCGTCATCAAGTCCGCTGTTGTCTCTGGGTCCATTTTCAATGCTTCTGCTGGGATTCCATCTGGTCCTGCTGCTTTTCCAGCTTTTAGCATCTTGATGGCATTCAGGACTTCTGATTTCATCGGGCTGTCGATATTCACTGGTAGTTCTGCTTCCGTTGTTGGTATTGTTGGGCGCGTTGTAGGTGGCGGTCGATTTAGAAGTCTTTTGAAGTGTTCAGCCCAGTGTTTTCTTTGCTCCACCTCCTTGGTGATTGACTTTCTACTGTCATCCTTCACTGGCTTAATCTGTGTCGAACTTTTGCCCGATAGGTACCTAGTTGTTTAGTAGATGTGGAGAGGTCTCCTTTGCCTGCAGCTTGTTCTGCTGTACTTGCCATGGTTTCATAATATTTTCTTTTGTCTCCCCTGCCACTCTTCTTCACTATTTTGTTCAGCGTGTTGTAGCTTGCATTCAACTCCTGTTTTGTTGCTCGTCGTGCACTGAATAATCTTTTGTTTCACAATCCTTCTCTCTTCTATTAGTCTCCAAGTGTCCATAGTGAGCCACTGTTTGTCCCACCTCTTCTTTCTGCCTAGAACGTCCATGCAGGTTTGACTCCACACCGTTTTCAAGTTGTCCGAGTGCTTTTCGACGCCAACCTCCTCGCTAGTGTTGATTTGTGTCTCGGTTTTGTCCCTTTTGTTTGCAATGAAGATGTCATTTGTATCATGGTCCTTCAGTTTTTGAGTATTGAACTTCGCCTGTGGTCTATCTTCAGCTGCTGTTTCTTTGAAAGCTTTTAATTTGATTTGGATTGTCCCTTGTACGAGATAGTGGTCTGAGCCAACGTCTGCTCCTCCTCTTACTTCTGTGTCCAGTTGGCTGCGTCTCCACTTCCTTGAGATTGAGATGAAGTCAATTTGGTTTTTGGTTTGCCCGTCTGGTGACACCCGTGTAGCCTTGTCGATATCTTTGTGCTTGTATACACTGCCACCAATCACTAGTTCGTTGAAGGCGCAGAAGTCGGCGAAGAGTTCTCCGTTTTCATTCATTTCTCCGAGAGCTTCTCTACCCATGATGAGTTCCCTCTGTGTGATGTCTGGTCCCAGTTTGGCGTTCATGTCTCCCATTAGTATTTTAATGTCGCCAGCTGGAGTATTGTCCATTGTTGCCTGTAGTTGTCTGTAGAATTCTTCTTTCTTTTCGAAATCTGCGTTGTTTGTGGGTGCATAACATTGTGTAATTGACACTTTCCTTCCTTTTGAGTTGAATCTTGCGGTCATTATCCTGGGCGAGATCGCTTCCCATTGCATCAGCGCCTTTGTTGATATCACGATAGCCACACCCTTGGTGTGCATGTGGTTATCTTCTGGGTGACCGGAGTAGATCACTGACTCACCCGTTGACAATTTGGTGAGTCCATTCCCGTTCCATCTGCTTTCACATATTCCCATCATTTGGATTCCGTATCTTTTCATCTCATTTGCGATCTGAGAAGCTTTGCCAATCTCATACGTGGTGTGGACGTCCCATGTCCCCACACAGACTTTTTCTTTTGGCGCAAAGCGATTCACTGTGCTGAAGTTTATGTAGCAACTTTGTTTACAGGATGGGATTGCTAGCATCACGCCTGAGAAAGGAATTGTTACATTAAGATAAAGTTTAGAGATAAGCGACCTTGTGGGTTGCTCCCCGAAGTGAAATATTTAAAAGCAATATTTAAAAGTCAAAAAATATGGAACGCTTCACGATTTTGCTTGTCACACTTGCGCAGGGGCCATGCTAATCTTCTCTGTATCGTTCCAATTTTAGTATATGTACCGTCGAAGCGAGTACATATATTGTAATGCACGCTGAAAATGCCATACCTGTACCACAAATACTGTTTGGAATAAAGCTGTTAACATTATTATTATTACTATTATGAGCAGTAATAAAATGTGCTCGAAACGTCATCAGTTAATATTACTGTACAACACTGTGTGATTTATCAAAACAAAATCTTATCCATAATGGAGTAATAACAAGTAACTCTGGCTGGTTGGGAACAAACCAACCAAGAGCCGACCGCTCAACAAATATTAAGGCGAAAATGGAAACGGTATGGGCACACACTGAGGAGACAGTTGAGTGACATCTCACGTCACGCCCTAGAGTGGAACCTAAATGGGGAGTGACGAGTTTTTCGTAGGTGTCAGCTAGACATGTAGGAGATTTTGGGAGTTGGAGGAGAATGGAGAGTTTGGGCAATCATGGGTCCAGCTAAAGGGGACAGGAGAAAACGAAACATAGTGGACGTGTGTTGTTGAAGCCCTATATTCCACTCGAACCCAATGGAATCATAACACATAACGATATATATATATATATATATATATATATATGAAGGCAAAAGGTTTTGTTTAAATCATCTATAACTCTAAACAATTTTTATTTACCAAGATGTTTGGGGGAAACTTTAAAAACATTTTCTTTTCATTACCTTCGTGCTTAGCTACATTTCCATTCATTATCATAATTTCTTCAGGTATGGACGATGATGCTGCTGAATTATTGCTATTACTGCCTTTGACACTTGTTAGCACTGAATCCACATTGCCTAAAATACGCCATTGTTCAAACTGATTATCACTATCGAGCTGCTGTTGTTGTATAGGTAGACTGTTGTTTGATAACGATAAATTGTTTGGCAGTGCATTTGCTAACTCTGGACTAGCACAAGATACAATAAGGCGCACAGTGAAGTCTTGACGAAAGTCATCACACTGCAAACATGTGTCCTGAGTGACATTGAACTCACCAAGAGTTTTATTCAATGTATCTAAAATAATTGAATAACAAAGAAGCATATATATATATATAGTGTGTAATGAATAGATCTGAGGGTAGTCTTTATAACATTGCCCCCTCCTCTAAACTTGATACACCTGAGTGTTGCATAAAAGCATAGAAATCTCGTATTTCACAGTGGTTAGGACTCTCGCCGACCATGCAAATGGTTCGAGGTTCGATCCCCTGCCGACGAACACCTGATATCTATGGTCGGCATGCAAAATTTGAGCTACCGATATCCATGCTGAAAATTCCATACTTGTACCAAAAATACAGTGTAGAATCAAGCTGTAATCAAAATCAAAATCAAAGTAAGACTAGGCTATAATCATCACAGTGTACTTCGTCTTAAAACGCTAGACAATGGAGGGTGGTTATTCTCGTGTCCCTGACAACAGTATAGCTGAATGGTATTTGACAGGCAGTGAAGCACTGATCATATCTTTCGATTCCTTACAATCCGAGTGAGACAAAGAGCTTCAAGCTTTGAATTTCTAATAGCAGTGGTGTTGTTTCTACGGGATGGATTTGCCAACCTCACAAGCCTAACCCTCGTTTTATTTTCAGAAAACTACTACACCACCAGTTAGGCGTGATTTAAGAGTCCGTCAGTTGGGAATCAAACCTGGACCTACTGTATGATTGGTAAGCATTCAACCGCTGAGACATTGAAGCACCAAGGCAGAAGCGCTGGCTATACACAAAGATACACCCTGAACTCCAAATACAGAAGCAATTTATCCGGTCCCCTCTTATTACAGTATCCTTTCTTTTCTTAATTCATACAGCAACTCAGCATGCAATCCATAGTCCTTCGTCTTAATTTTCCCTTCAAACTCCCAAATTTAAAATATGCTCCATACAATACATATTCTGAATCTCTAACCCTTTTGAGTGATGTTCTTGTTTCCAAGCGATTGTCATTTTTAATGGTAATCATTTCTGAGGGGTAACTACTGATCACTCATTGTATTTAGATTACGTATGAACAACTGACCTCATAGACAATTCCCTGACCTTTAACAACACTATATAAGCAAATGTACAGATTTGAAGTGAAGTTACGAAAAGAATATTTTCTGCTGACCTACGCGTTTTTCTGACCATCTAGTAATATTTACTTTTACTTAACCATAAGAATTGACAGCTATCAATTGTCTGTCTATCTGTCTGTTTTCGATATAGAACTTTGCACATATGTGCGCCAGTTCAAGTCGCCACACTCCATGCAACACACAGCTAGAGAAGAAAGTAAAAGAAATGATTATTAGAGACAGTAAACAGAGGTGTGAGACAAAGGAGTAGTAATAACGAAGAACAAAACAGTTTGATTGGAAATCATAAGTCACAAGAAGTGGATGCATTTGCGCCATTGAGAGTGATTTTGAGCCATGTCACCAATAGTTTTCAACCATTGGTTTTTACCGTCCCGAGGATTCCAGCCAGTCAGGAAGTCTACACATCCCGACGTGGCTGGCTTAAACTAACTGTGGTGGATTTCATTGATTGGTGTCATGTTTCGGTTTCACCACCACTGGTTCTCTTCCAGCTTGACCAATCCTACGTGAGCTAACATTGCCCGTTGTCGGGGAGGGCTATGACTAGACATACATAACCCCATGTCCCAACCATCTCAGTCGATTTAATTTCACAGCCTCGTCGATTGATTTCCTCTTCCTCCTAACCTAGCACTCGACGCCTAGGTAGGAGTGGTGCAATTGGTCCTGGTTCTCTTGGACAATGTTCATATGCAAATCTTATTGTGTCTGGGTCGAATTCCTTTAAACTTGAGTTTTTAATTTTCCTGTGCTTTTTCGCTTGGATAAGACGTCCAAAACTGGAATTTTGTCCTTGGTCACCTCTACTCTTGTGAATGTGGTGTCGTTGAAGATGTCGCATATTAAGTTGTCGTAGTCGTTGCTTTTAGTTATCGAAATGTGTCACCCAGGTAACGTATCCAAAGTTTTGGTTTGATCTTCGGTAGAATTATTTTTTCAAGTGTTTGCATCATGGCTTCTGCAATCAGACCTAATATGGATGTTCCATTAATTTATTCATATATTTGGCCGTTGAATTAAAAACAGGTTGTTAGACATAGGTTTATGCATTCCATCCAACTTTTTTGTTGCATTTTTGAGTGTTGTGAGAGGCGTTCGTCGTTGTAAAGTAACTGCCCCATGGTTTATTTTGCTAGTTTCTATCTAATCGAAGTATATAATGCGGTTATATCGAAGGATACTATTATTTCTTAGTCGTCTATTTGAATGCCTTTGATTTTCTTCACAAATTCGGTTGCGGATTTGATGGAGTGATCGCAGGATTCCGTTAAGTGTTTCAATTTTCTGTACAGTTCTTTGCATAAACTGTTTGTTGGGGTTCCTGGGAGTGATACAGCTATATATTGAATAGTTATTGATAAATCCTGTTCAACCTTTATATGGGGTACCTTGTCAAATTAATTTTAATTTTGATTATAGCTTGATTCCACACCGTATTTTCGGTACAAGTATGAAATTTTCAGCACGTGATATCAGTAGCCTAAATTTGCAGTCCAACCATTGATATCAGGTGTGCGTCGTCAGGGAATCGAACCCTGGACTATGTGCATGATTGGCGAGAGTCCCAACCACTGTGCCACCGACGTATATATATATATATATATATATATATATATATATTCAAATCATGTGATTTCTTGTTTACTAGTTTATTTCTTAAAAGGATCTCCTCCTTCTCCTTGTCTTCTACAAGAATCGTCATGTTCATCACATGACTCATCGAATTTTTATGAACTACGAGATCAACGTAAATTGTCCATATCTGGTTGGCTTGACATCTTCTTGAATTCGGTTGAGAAATTACAAAAACGAGTAGAAGATGGCGGTGGAGACAAGTTTTTAGTATGGGATAAGGTAAAAAAAAGGTTTTTGGTTATCAGAATTAACTCGTTTTTATAACGGCATCCCGTTTTTTAGCCAATTTTTTTTAAGCTTATCAGATTTTATATAATTATTGTTGTTATTCGCATGGGTTCCTAATGGAACATTGTGCTTTTGCAGCAGCACATCACCATTTCACTCTGTTCTCTAAATTCTACTCTAGCTTCTGGCTCAACGATTCCTCATAAACTCTCATTTCTTTTTAATTCATGCGAATCTCATCAAATTCTCATTCGAGTTTCACTCAAGGTGCTTTCCTCGGATATGATGCTATTCAACGATTCAATCTACAGCGATTTTCTTCCGCATGTTTCACTGCACTTGCCAGAATTTTTGTTTTTGGTTGGCCATCTGATCTTTGGTATCGAGCGAAGTCAGATGTTGACGAAAGTTTGCAGTGGCATGTCATAGTTTAGTTTCCCTGTAAACCTGCGTTGTTGGAAAGCATTCTAAAATTGCTGCATGTTGTTTTTTTTCTCAGGATTGATGTGGATTCACGTTTTTCTCACAATCCCTATTAATAACCACTAATGATTCATCTTCTTCTGATGTCAATCCTAGAAGACTGAAGTGTTAATTCAACTATTATTGTAGCCGAGTGATGATTAAGGCTGAAATAAAAATCTGGTTTGCAGCAGAATCCCAAACCGTGACCTGTGAGCTATGTGTTGCGAACCGAATGTTAATCAGGTAGTTATTTCACTGCAGTTATCACGTACAATACCCAACTGTGTTGTTGTTAGGTGAATAAATGAATAGTACGTTACTGTCCGTTTGAGAACACCACACTAGTTGTCCATCTACTTGACAGCCGACCACTTACGCGGGATAACTGCAATAAAACTGTGGTTAACAGTTACGTTTTCTGATTGTCAGTGCCTTCTAATCATAATGACTCAACACGTTAGTTGAGTTGACCGAGTTAACATTTGGCGTACTTTCATTAATACAAGGTTGTACAACATGATGATATCTGTTTTTTCTGGTTTTGTGACTATCGCTGGAATCCAGGATGCGCATGTCGTCCTAAATAGGATTTATGAACTTACCGGTGAGTGACAATCAAGCAAAGTTAGTTGGCAGGAAATGCAAATTAATCTCTAAACGAATGATGATATCCATCGCTATTATTACTGAGACAAATTCCGTACATTATGGGCTTCAAGTGATGCACTACACAAAACCTAATGGTTTGTGAGAGGTCTGGGGTACCGCTGGAACGCACAAACTGGGGCGGTGGTTATCTCAAGGGTCCATCCCACTTCCAGACTTTAACTTGACATCTGACCCACGAGGTAGTGAAGCAGCGTTAGGGGTTGCTTTGCCATGGTATTCAGTGACCAAGACAGGTTGATACGCCATTCGATCCTTTCGGATTTTAGAGCATATCTACATTATAGATTTGGATTCAGGATTTTTCGGATCCTATAGGTAGAATAGTACATCCACCAGTCCGATTATGAGTGACGCGTTTTACCTTTATGAGAAACACCCTCTCCGCTTTAAAGGCAGTGCATAGAACTTACCCGGCAATGCCTACGAACGCGTGGCGACATGTGAGCATTTCGAGAGAAGGACCGAAATCTACCGACCCTTGGCCGTATCACGTCGTTTATGTGGGTGGATTCAGTTTTACAAAATGACTATCATCTCAACGTATTGCAGTATGCATCTATAACATTAACATTTACTATGGATGAGACCGACAGTCTACAACCTGCAACTGTCGAAGTTTATGGTTTGAGTTTTTTTCCAAACCATTTAGGTATATGTTCCCTCGATCCTGGCCTGCAGATCGCAGTTATTCCTCCCTATGTATATGCATCTACAAACATGCATGTAAACTGGTGTACTACAATATTGATTGTGACGTTTTCACATCCCAATCACTATTTATTTTCAGATTCCCACACATCCGAGAGAATTTTGAAACAGGCTTAGTTTTCATACATATTGTTTTATTTCAGGATGATCAAGAGGCTATGGATTTTGTGGCATCCGCTGCTGTCATTCGTTCACAAGTGTTCCACTCACCTGGTGCTGATCAACT